TTCCAGGTGTGCGAATCCGTAGTCTGGACCAACTTAGCAACCGGGTGAACCCGACTGCAATACTTGGCCCTCATAAAATCCGACCAAAGTGTATGCTCTGTGCGAAAATTCCACCACAATTTTGCACTGGCAGCTCTAACCATGAGATCCAAGTCCAGGGAACCAACTCCCCCCTCCTTTTTTGGACGGGACAGAGTTTTCCACGAACTCCAATGATACCGGGCGCCCCCCGATTGTTTCAAGAAGAAACTCGCATAACATCTCTCCAGGTCCCTAATTACCTGCTTAGGGGGCGCGCAGGCCGAGAACAGGTGCAAAGGAATGGCCTGTAGAACCGAAGAAATCAAGATCGCCTTCCCACCTTTCGAGAGCACCCGCCGTTGCCAACTTAAACATTTAGCCTTGACTTTATCCACAACGGGGGCGAAGTAAATACACTTCTTGCGACCAAGATATACAGGGCAACCTAAGTAAGTAAATGGAAACTGTTTATGCACACAACCTGTTGCCCTGCGAATGCTGTCAATCTCACCAGCCGGAGTACGAGGATGCACATAAAACGCACTCTTCTGAAAGCTCACCAACTGTCCCGAAATCTCCTCGTACTCCTTCAAAGCATTAATTACCTCCTGAATTGCCCCCAACCTGGCTGTACTAAAAATAATCACGTCATCCGCATAAGCCAGGTGGTGTATATGCGGTGTCCCCGGCGGCTGCGTGAACCGTGGCACAGCGGTTCCATCATAAACCCGAGCAAGGTAAACAGACAAGACCTCCGCTACAATCACAAACAAAGTCGGGGACAAAGGATCCCCCTGCCTGAGGCCCCGTGTAGAAGTGAAAAAACCCTCCTTAACCCCATTTACAATCACGGAGTACCAAACATTCGACACAGCCCGGAACACCATATCTATCCAAATCTCACTGAAACCCAGGCGGCGCATCACCGAAGTCAGGAAGAACCACGAGACCCGGTCATATGCCTTAGCCATATCAAGCTTCAGCACTATGTCCCGGTTCTGCAAACTCAAACCGTGGCACATCTCAGATGCAAGCAAAACATTGTCCGTGATGGACCGGCCAGCTACAAACCCACTCTGCTGCGGGGACAACACTCGGGGCAAAACCGTCGCCATCCGGACCACCATGAGCTTCGTAACCAACTTGCTACTGAAATTGCACAAACTGATAGGCCTATAATCTGCGAAGGTCTCCGGACTCGGCTTCTTCGGGAGCAGAACAATGGATGTGTGCGTGATAGCCCTGGTGAATTCCTGTCCTGCAAAGTAACTCCGAACCATACTGACTACATCATCCTGAATGATATCCCAACAGGCCTTATAAAAGGCCCCCGAGAAACCATCCGGCCCTGCTGCACTCGTAGAGTTCATCTGCATTACCACCGCTTTAATTTCACCCACCTCTGGCACAGCTGTTAACTGTTCATTATCCTCATCAGTAACCAACCGTGGGACACAATCCAATCTGGCCAAGTCAAACCCCCCAATCTCGGCGGTAAACATGTGCTCAAAGAAAGAGACTGCCTGATCAGCAATTCCCTGTCTGTCCTCCAGCCATATCCCTTCCCCATTTTTCACCCTGTGTATGTATAGCTTACGCCTGCGTTCCTTAACAATAGAGTGAAAGAAACGGGAGTTTCTATCCCCATCCTGAACCTCGGTGACACGCGCCTTTTGCTGCCAGAATTCCTCCTCTATTGCAATCTGTTTCTGCAGCAAAGCAACACCCTTCTTATATTCAAATAGAGCATTTTCATCATCTGGGTGTTGCTGCAAGGCAGCCTCAAGGGTTTGAACACTATCCTCATATTCCCGGAGCTTCACAAATATATCCCCGAATTCAGACTTGCTCCACCTGCTCAGAACCTTACTCAGTCTATTCAATTTGGTGGCCATTACAAACATAGGGCCCCCTTCCACCGGGACCTCCCAGCTATCACGCACCACCCTCTGAAAGCCCTCGTGCTTGATCCAAACATTCAAGAACACGAAGTGCTTTGGTACTACCTGCATACTCAATAACTCACAGGATATCAGCAGTGGACTGTGGTCAGACGTGGACTTTGATAAATGCCGTACAGATGTTCTGAAAACCGATTCCCATACCGAGGTAAAAAGGAACCGATCCAAACGCATCCATATGGCTGCCTTCCCACGCCGCCCATTCCACCAAGTGAAACAAGAGCCGTAGTAGGTTGCATCAATCAAGTCACACGCACTGACACACTCCTGAAAATCAGTAGTCTTCCGATGTGGGTACGGAAGCCCACCTTTTTTCTCGTCCACACTTAACAAACAATTAAAATCACCTGCAACCGACCAAGGAACCCCTCCGGGAACCAAAGAATATACATGGTTCAACTCAGCCCACAACGGGTCCCGGAGGCGTTCTTTGGTTTTGGCATAAACAAATGAGAGCCAAAACGGAGTGAGCACAGTAGAATGAATACATGAAATGGTGACGCACTGCTCCGTTTGACTCTCAAATGTTACTGCCAAGTCATTATTCCAGAAAAGCCAGATTTTATTATTAACAGAAGCAAAAACATTATCAAAATTAAAGCGAATCCTGAAAAACTCAAGCCAATCAGACGAGCTGAAAGGCTCGAGTAGACATAAAATAAAAGGCGTGTGCATTCTCAACAGCACACGGATCCTGCGAGCAGAACCCCGAGAGGACACCCCCCTCACATTCCAGGCGAGTAGCTTCATATAGAAGATAACACACCCGGCCCTTCAGGGGGGTCCCTCTCCTGTCTCATAAAGCTATACCGACGTCGCACTGAGCCAATCCCTTCCCGGAGGTCTAAATTCTCATATTCTGTGTCAGAACCCGAGGCCCATTCCTCCGGTTCCTAATCAGCCACAGGGACGTCAGTATCTGACCACGCCCTTTCCCTCCCCCTCCTCGGCCCCCACGGGGCCTCAGGGGGTGAATCGGGCGTTTGAGCCGCCAACCAGAGAGTATCACTCGGAGGTGTGCATGGCGGCGTCCCCAGCTCAAGGGGACCATAGAAAATAGGATTCGGAACAGGAGAAGGGGTAAAAGAGAACGATACCTGCTGCGGGCTTTGAATATCCGCCCGCTCTCCCGTAAAGAGGCTAGCATCCTCATTACCTTCTGGAATAGTAGACAAGCGGCCCGATGAGAGGCCACTCCCTATCCCAGAAGGCGTCATGCAATCAGATTTCCCGGTAACAACCGGGGTGGAGGCATCCACAGTAGCCTCCTCCGTAGTATCCACAATAGCCTCCTCCGAGGCGAGGCTATCATCTTGTAGCGCAGCAAACCCATTACTAACCGGAACCGGGGCACTAGGCCGGCTAGTAGTTTGGGCCCGCCACACAAGATTACCTGTACCTGCACTTGGTCCCCGACTATTATCAACAACCGGGGACTTGCCTTTCACCTGTTTTTCTTTATTTCTTTGCATTTTTCTTTGATTAGCCGTCATATCTCGATGATCCAACACGGTGGTAGTGTGACTTTGAGTGGAAAAGAATTGGAGTGTGACTTTGAGTGGTAGAATGAGGGTTTGGTAAGAAGAGAAAGAGCGGAGTTGAGCTAAAAACAGAGAGTGTGTGAGGTGTTCTCGGAGGCTATGAAGTCCGGCTAGTCGGGACTGAGTCTCAACGTAAGGTGTTGGCGGTACAACATGGCACCCTAGTCTGGGCCGAACGGTGTACCAGGCAGGACTAATCAAATCCGTTGACCTAGTCAGGCTTGCTGCTGGCCAATAGTAGCCGAGTCCCTTCTGGATCCCAGGGGGGACGGGATTGGAGGCTATGAAGTCCTGCTGGTCGGGACTGAGTCTCAACGTAAGGTGTTGGCGGTACAACAGGGCACCCTAGTCTGGGCTGAACGGTGCACCAGGCAGGACTATCAAATCCGTTGATCTGGTCAGGCTTGCTGCTGGCCAATAGTAGCCGAGTTCCTTCTGGACTCCGGGGGGGACGGGTCTCTTTGGGGGGGTTGCTGTTTGTTCGCGTCAGCCTGTTAATACCTATACACTCACCTGGTGTGAAAGATGGAAATAGCTGGGGTCGAGGAAACAGGATGTTGCTTGTTCTATCTTGTTTTCCTTTTGCAGGTTTGTTTCTTTGGCCTCCGGGGCATATACTGGTCTACAGGCTTTTTTGGTTCCGCCTTTGCAGGTGTTCTTTGAGATAGACCAGGCCTCAACGTTTGGTGCAAGCGGTAAGAAATTGCATCCTGGCCCGGGCTGAACGGTGGCCGGGTAGGTGTTTTTCAAATCCGTTGGCTTAGTCCAGGCTTGCTGCTGGCCCATAGTAGCTAATCCTGTTAGGGTTGGTTCTGGTTCGTGCTGGTGCTGATCGGGGTTTTGATGCTATTGGCTGCCTTGTTCTTTATTTCCGTATCTCTGGGCCTGTGATTGCCTGTACTTTATGTAATGTTTTGACTGAGGCCCGAGTGCCGACATTTTGCTTTGCTGTTCTGTTGTCGGGTTGGTGTGTATTGCTGCTTCTAACAGGGCAGCCAATAGTACCCCATGAGTTGTTGCGGTTTGAGTTGCAGCTCGGTTGGACTGTATTGTGCTGCAGTTGACAGGGAGGCGTTTCTGATCGTGACAGGCGAGGTGGCTGTTCCCCTTGTCGTTTGTCTCCTCGTCTACAGGATGGCCGGGAAGGCAGTTGGGTTATGCTTGCTTTACATTTTCGAGCAGCTGCGCTGTCCCTTAGTGGTTTTTGCTGTTGCTTTCATTATAGCCTTTGTCTCGTGTTAGTTTGCTAGTATGGGACTTGGGGCAAGTATGTTATAGCCCCGGGGGCCTGCCTTTGTAATCTTTATTTTCTTTTCTAGCTTAGTTTCGCTTTTTAGTTAGTGGGATTCTTGGTCGTCTGTGGCCTAATCCCTTGGACGATGTATTGGCTTCGGCCTTTTACTATTTAATAAAGTCCTATTTACTAAAAAAAAAAAAAAAAAAAAAACCCTAAACCCTAAACCCTAAACCCTAAACCCTAAACCCCAAGGAAAAAATAAACAGTATTTTTTGAGATCATAAACAACAAATTCAAAATTTATTTGAATTTCATTGTTTATGATCTCAAAAAAATATCTTTAGCTTAGCGTGTTGATCATCACTGCCGCCATGGCAACAGAATTGCAAGCCTCAATATTATTGATTGTGTTATGTGCATTACCGTGTGTATTTGGCGGCGATTCAGCGCATGGATGGTTGGATGCTCATGCCACCTTTTATGGCCCCCCTGAGGGAACCATTGGCGGGGCTTGTGGGCTTGAGCAGTTTAAGGAAACCTATTCCCCATACACTACAGCTTTGAGCGCAGCATTGTTCAACAATGCAGCAAGCTGCGGAGCCTGCTACGAAATAAAATGCGTAAATAGCACAGGGCAATGCAAGACACCCCAAAAGCCCATCATCGTTACAGCCACCGATCTTTGCCCGACGGGCGATGGAAAATGGTGCGCTCCGCCACAGGCACATTTTGACCTATCTATGCCTGCATATCTCCAAATTGCAGAGTACAAAGCCGGGGTTGTTCCGGTGTTCTATCGCAGGGTTCCATGCATGAGAAAAGGAGGAGAGCGGTTTACGATGTCAGGACATCAGTTCTTCAACCTAGTGACGGTGTCAAATGTTGGAGGAAGCGGGGATGTTTCAAAGGTGGAGGTGAATGCTGAAGGGCACAAGAACTGGGTACCTCTGAAATGCAACTGGGGTGAGAAATGGGAGACCAATGCAATGCTGTCTGGGAAATCTCTCAATTTTAGGGTCACCACAAATGATGGCAAAGTAGTCACTTCCCAGAATGTCGCCCCCAAGTCCTGGCAGTACGGCCAGACATTCGAAGGCCGAAACTGTCGATAGATAAACTTAATTAATTGCCAATATAATGCACATCACATGCATCACTTCTAAAATCTTAGGTTTCATTTCTGCATATGTAAATGCACGGCAGTGTACGTTGAAATAATTGAGATACACGCAAGCAAAATTTCCTTTCAAAAAAAAAAAAAAAAAAACCCTAAACCCTAAACCCTAAACCCTAAACCCTAAACCCATCGTCGTATGGAGGCTGTGCTACGAAGGTTGACGTCTCTGCCCGAGGTGTCGATCATCGCACGAAGGCGGAGATTGTTCTTGCGGCCGTAGATGGCGATTTGGAAAGGGCGAAGAAGCTCATTGAACCGGATGATCTCTGGGATCTTCTTAGGGCAGACATGGAGCAGTGCCATGGTGATGTGGCTGGGAACCGATCGTTGGGTGGGCGCGATGTCAATCGCGATGGCGTAAAGGATCGCGATTGCGCGGTCATGGCTGGGATATCTCGCCACCGCCCTGGTGGGGCTATGGAATCAGAAGGAAGGGGAGAAACGCCGTATGAGGGCTGCAGTTCGAAGGTGGAGTCGCGTGGCCGTGGTTGCGTCGATGCTATCGCCACGCCGTTGCCGGATGGCCTTGGATTGCGAAGACAGAAGGAGTTTCGAGGAGTGGTTTCTGCCGTCTCTTGTGCAGAATCCAAGATTGGGGTAGATGGCCATGGCCGGACCAAGGCGGAGAACTGTCTTGCAGCCTTGGGAATTTCGTTGGTGGATGGGAGAAAACACGCTTCGCCGGAAGAATTATTGGAGCTCTTGCACGCAGCCATGGATGAGGAGGACTGTCGGATTAAGGCCGGTGGTGTCTCGCTTAGGATGATGCCTAAGGTGGCTCGGCTAAAGAAATCGAAGAAGAAGGTCCGCCTTGTCACGTCGGCCTTGGGCGCTGGCGTTGCGTCTTCTCCCAGCGGCAGTGACGGGGGAAGGTCCATGAAGCTTCATGGTCCAATGGCTGCCAGGTCCACGCACCATCGTGGGCCAATGGTGGTTGCTGGGCACGCACAGGCGAGGCAAGAGGGTCGGGTGTCTCGCGTGTACCGGCGGAGAAGGTCAAGGCCACGTAACGAGCCATACGCCAATGGCCATGGTGGTGATGGTATGGCTACGCAGCACCATCCGAGACACTGCCCAGGTAAGGTTTCTTTTCCCTCTTTTCGTAGCAATTTCAGTAAGGATGGGCAAGCAACATCTTGGGTTTCTAATTGGCAAGCTCCTAATGAGCAAGCTGGTCATAGAACACTAGATGTTGCTCCTAATCGGCCAAGGCACTTTGTTAAGGCTGGTTATAGGTCCAAAGATGCCCATTCAGACATGCCTGAAATTCGTGTTTCAAATGATGGTCGAATGGATGGCCAATGCCTAGACGTTGGAGACTCTAGCTTGGTTCCCCTGCCACTCTTTGTTGATTCGAATTCTGGGAAGGAACAAGTTGTGCCTAAGACTGCTTTGAGCTCCCCTCTTGTGGGGCAAAGCAGAGAGGGTGATTTGGGGGTTGCCGTATGCAATGGTCTCTCCCAGGGTAGGCAATTGCAAGGTTTTGGGGATGGGAAAGGTTCTCGGGCTTTTGGATTAATCCCCCAAGCTGGTTGCACTACTGTGGGCACTTGTGGTGAGGCCATGGCAGCCCCAAATCCCAGTTTAATTTCAATGTGTCTTTCGCATAATCCATGCTTGTTGATTGGTGGGGAATGCCCACTATCGAAAGACAAGGAGGGGATGGAATGCTCAACACTTGGTGTTTTGGCCGAAAAGCAAAACCAGGGGCTTTCATGTACTCAAGTGGTCTCGGTTGGGGATTGTTTGAGCATGAGGCAACCGGGTTCATACCTAAACCATGAGGGGAAGCAAAAAGCTATAATGCCCATTGTTGACTCTCCTTTGGTTAGCCAAGACAAGAGGCCACATCTCGAGCATGTCCCCTCCCTTGGCAGTCTTGGCAATAGGCAAAATGGCAATGAGATATCCGGCATGGTCTATAGCACAATTGTGCACTCCGAGCCTTTGGGCAGAGAGGGTCAATCGTGTGCTATAGAGAGTGTTGGGACTGGCCGAGAGCATCAAGGAGAGGGAGCTGCATTTTATGCTATTAAAAGGGCCTCTATGCCGGAGGCTATCCATACGGCAGCAGGTAATACTCATGACCCTTTTGCTTTTGATCTTAATCTAAGTGTGGGGGATGTACGAGAAGCATCAGCTAGTCACCCTAATCGGCATGCTCATGATGGGCAAGCTGGTCATAGGGCTCATGGGGAGGTAGATCCTAATCGGCTAGTCAGTTGTGACAAAGCCGGTCATAGGTCCCATGTAGATGCTAATTCGACTACATCAACTGCACTTAGAGGGCAAGGTATGCAAAATAATGGTGGGGATTTTGTAGCAAAATCCTCTTGTGATTCTTTAACCTTGCCGAGTTTGGGAGCTGCTCCGTCTAATAATCACTCTAAGCTTATAGCTAGCAATGAGGTGATTGGGACTGGGCAACTCTCGAACACAAATACGGCTCTAAATGTTGGCAACACGACATATAAAAACCATGGGATTGGAGGTAGCACTTCAATTACGTTTGGCCATTTTGGGGACGTGGTGTCAACATTTAGTGGCTTAGGGGACAATAATGGTGTGGGTGGTTTGGAAGCTACACGAACTAATATACCCGCACCATTCGCCCCGCTTGAGGGTGTTATTAGGGGCACGCAAAACCCATTGCAAACCCCTAATAACACCCCAAACTCGAGACGTGCAACCAATGAAAATGGTATGCATGTCTCGGGTTCTACTGTGCCCAATGTTTGGGCACGGCTTGCTATGCTACATGCTAATGGTGCCGCCCCAGTGGGGGCACCAAGCTTGGATAATACGGCTCAGGTAAGTAGCTCTGCATTAGCCGTGAGCTCAGGTACGTTTCCCTCCTTTGCTAGTCTTTTTGCTTCAGCGGGTCTGCCAACGCAAAAGGTGAATGCAGGTCATAACCCCGGACTTTGCATATCCGAAAAAATTGTTGAAAATTATAAAGGGGAGGCCTGCATAACCTTTGAGGATAAGGAGGTGCAGCAGATGAATAAAATAGGGGAAACCCTTCTGATTGGAAAATTCTCCTATGGCAGACCCGTTCTTTCCGTTATAAGAGAACACTTTGCCAAGCGCTTAAAGCTGAAAGGATCTGTGACTATTGGCTTAGTGGACCCACGCCACGTGTCTCTTGCATTCTCCAATGCGGAAGATTACATTAATACGCTGGTTAAGGGTCAAATTCTCTTTAACGGAAAGTGCCCGATGCGGCTCTTTAGGTGGACAATGGACTTTGACACAAGGTACGAGCCGTCTTTGGCCCCGGTGTGGGTTCTCTTGCCTAATCTTAAAGCCAATTGCTTCTCGGAACCTTGTCTCAAACAAATTGTGAAACCTATTGGCAAGCTGTTACAGGTGGACACGCCTACGGCCAAGTTTACTCGGCCAAATGTGGCAAGAGTTAAAGTTGAGATTGATTTGCTGAAACCCCTATGCCGTAAGATGTTTATTCGGTTAGGGACTGCACGCCCGGACCGGGAGCCCGTGGGGTTTTGGCAAATGATTGAGTATGAGCGTGTCCCCCCGTACTGTTTAAATTGCAGGAAACAGGGCCATATGGCGAATAGTTGTCGTGTTTCTGGTGGCGGAGCCCGAGCCCCGCGCACTACGGCTCCGCAAGTGCCGGCATCAGTGGTTGATGTTGGTCCTAGTCCCGCGGTGGAGGCTCAGAAAGCTACCCAGAACTCGGGTGGCCAGGGCCGGGGCACTACCACCGTGTTGGATCATCGGGATATGACGGCTAATCAAAGAAAAATGCAAAGAAATAAAGAAAAACAGGTGAATGGCAAGTCCCCGGTTGTTGATAATAGTCGGGGACCAAGTGCAGGTACAGGTAATCTTGTGTGGCGGGCCCAAACTACTAGCCGGCCTAGTGCCCCGGTTCCGGTTAGTAATGGGTTTGTTGCGCTACAGGATGATAGCCTCGCCTCGGAGGAGGCTATTATGGATACTACGGAGGAGGCTACTGTGGATGCCTCCACCCCGGTTGTTACTGGGAAATCTGATTGCATGACGCCTTCTGGGATAGGGAGTGGCCTCTCATCGGGCCGCTTGTATACTATTCCAGAAGGTAATGAGGATGCTAGCCTCTTTACGGGAGAGCGGGCGGATATTCAAAGCCCGCAGCAGGTATTGTTCTCTTTTACCCCTTCTCCTGTTCCGAATCCTATTTTCTATGGTCCCCTTGAGCTGGGGACGCCGCCATGCACACCTCCGAGTGATACTCTCTGGTTGGCGGCTCAAACGCCCGATTCACCCCCTGAGGCCCCGTGGGGGCCGAGGAGGGGGAGGGAAAGGGCGTGGTCAGATACTGACGTCCCTGTGGCTGATTAGGAACCGGAGGAATGGGCCTCGGGTTCTGACACAGAATATGAGAATTTAGACCTCCGGGAAGGGATTGGCTCAGTGCGACGTCGGTATAGCTTTATGAGACAGGAGAGGGACCCCCCTGAAGGGCCGGGTGTGTTATCTTCTATATGAAGCTACTCGCCTGGAATGTGAGGGGGGTGTCCTCTCGGGGTTCTGCTCGCAGGATCCGTGTGCTGTTGAGAATGCACACGCCTTTTATTTTATGTCTACTCGAGCCTTTCAGCTCGTCTGATTGGCTTGAGTTTTTCAGGATTCGCTTTAATTTTGATAATGTTTTTGCTTCTGTTAATAATAAAATCTGGCTTTTCTGGAATAATGACTTGGCAGTAACATTTAAGAGTCAAACGGAGCAGTGCGTCACCATTTCATGTATTCATTCTACTGTCCTCACTCCGTTTTGGCTCTCATTTGTTTATGCCAAAACCAAAGAACGCCTCCGGGACCCGTTGTGGGCTGAGTTGAACCATGTATATTCTTTGGTTCCCGGAGGGGTTCCTTGGTCGGTTGCAGGTGATTTTAATTGTTTGTTAAGTGTGGACGAGAAAAAAGGTGGGCTTCCGTACCCACATCGGAAGACTACTGATTTTCAGGAGTGTGTCAGTGCGTGTGACTTGATTGATGCAACCTACTACGGCTCTTGTTTCACTTGGTGGAATGGGCGGCGTGGGAAGGCAGCCATATGGATGCGTTTGGATCGGTTCCTTTTT